GGCGACGAGTTCGCATATCCAAATAATACTACTGTCAAGCAAATTTCCAGCCCTCATAACTTTTTAAGGAAAACCATTTAGCAGTTTTAATTTCCATTTTCGTAAATAGCATTCAAAACTCTATCGATTTATCTGGGTCTCCATTCAAAGTCCCACGGTAAGTAGACTACCCCTCCTTGGTTAATCCCCCGATCATGCGTGTGACAGTGCGCCACCTGCCACTACTCCACTCTGCCTTTAAGAATTAAGATATACGTTATAAGGCCAAAAATTCACGTAATGAGTGCTGCTATATGGTCATCCCAGTAGCTGAAACAACCTGTACAAGTTTCAGGGTATATATTATAACGAAGAAGTTGTTGTTCCACCTCGGTCCGAATCTGACGACGACATTCCTCTACCTACTGGAAGCAGCGTTGGTAATGGAAAGCCAGCGAGCATGTTGACAGCGGCTGACAGACCTGCAAGTATGTTGCAGCACCTTGAAAACTCTAGATGAATCGTGTTAACCGTCTAAAGGCGAAGGATTTTTCCTGAAAATCAGGGTGTATAGATATTCTTGACGTCGTTTCTTAGAGCACACTGGGTCGTTCGAAATCCCACCTGTAAAGATCTCTCCATCCCGGTATTCTTGAGCGGTACCGTAAGCATTGATCGATTTTCAGGTGTTCGATCGGTACGATTTTCTGGAACTAAACCAGGACATTCGGAAGAAGAAAAGGTAATAAGAGGCTACTGTAAATGTTACCTGATAAAGTCTGTAATTTTGTTCCAGGACGTTGAACCTTCGGATGTACCGGAGGAATACGAAGAAGCACTAAGTGAGTTATATAGATGATTACTTTTACTTTGTTAATTGGAATGTTACATTACAGGTTACATTACATGTTACAAATTGGTACATCTAGCTCAATAGTTTTGGTGTTTGCATAAATGATCCCCACCGCTTGATTATCTGTAAAGTACCTCAGCGCTATTATTGCTATGAATTCATACATAAACACTTGTAAAGTACGGTAACTAGCTGGTCCTTGAATCAGGGATGACGAACACTCAGCAAACTTGTTGTTGGCAATAAGCAAATTCAATGTCAATTCAGACCTACCTTCGAATATACCGTATCCACCATCCTCACCACCTGCATATCAGAGTCCGCCACCTGTGCCGAAGTCCGAGGAGAACAAGGGTAGGTCTCGGAGCTCGCTTTTCCTTATGGTTCACCAGGTTTCTCGGGTCCGCCAACGGAGCGAAGAGCATGACTTTCTGTGACAATTAAATAGCTTGATTTTTCCCAACCGAGATGACTGAATTCGATATAAAGTGGATACATCTTCACTTCATCCCTATGTATGAGTATCTCACCACTTTTATCGGCTCTTAGACCTTGTTTTTAGGGCTATCCTTGAGCCCAATCTGTAGTCCTCTGCTAACAAGCTAACTGCTAACTAGTAAGCTCAAATATTTTCTATAAACATTTTCTAAGATGCAAACCATACATGCTAGGTTTGCCACTAATTGAAGGTCGTTTCTCGCAGTGACATGGTTTCTTGGTTTCACTCATTCTTGAGAAAGTACTCTGCAACTTTTTCTTTTCAACTTTTCTGTTGATTACTTTTCAGCTGAAGGTGCTACAAGAGGATCACTCAACGAGTTGATTATGTCCAAAGTGACTTTACCGTTTCAACAAATGATACGAAGAAGTAGTCATCTTGATGAAAACAGCGACAGTGACAGTCAGGGTAGGTCATTACTCAATACTCACCTCCTGTTCTATGCACGAGGTTTACTCTGAAGTCTGATGGTGTTTGGATGAACCGTTTCAACATGGAAAGCTGATTTCTTTAAAAAAGTTCAGTGGTCGAAATTTTCGCCAAATCGAAGTAGTAGTTGACACCGCAGAACTAGGGAGAACCCTACGGTACTCAGCAACTGGCTAATACCTTTAGAAAGGGCAGGTGGTCAAGTGGAAGGCTTCATAATTTCCCACATGCATGATCTTATAGATGTAATCCTGGGTCAACATCCACCTGAAATGCCGATGTCCTACCATTCAGGGCGCCCAGTTGTAGGATATACGTGTGGGAGGATAAAAGCACTGACTCGCACATCGGCTGGAAACTGCAATTCATTGTATAGGTCCTATATGCCTTCATATTCCATTGCGATTCTGCTACAGAAGCTGCCAGTTTTCAGAGTATTCTGACTCCGATGGTAATAATGTCCACGACTTCAATGAGGAGGAGCTCCAACTGTTGTCCTTTGTCAATGCATACCATCCTGAAGAGATTCGACCTCGTCCGTTGCTGAAGCTGTTCATTATGGACTATTTGCCAGCAATTGGGGATATCGATGCTATGATCAAGATCCCTCGGCCAGATGAGGTTGGTTTAGCGAAGTATCCACCTTTGAACCTTTTCAATCGGATCAAAGCTTCAATGATTTTTCTCCATCATCTCATAGAAGCATCAGAAATTCAGGAATTCCTAGTTAATAGTTGGTTTAATAGAAGCTTTGTAGTCATCAAATTGAGGAAGATCTGTCACGAGGTCCGTTTAGGGCTCCGTAGGTAACGAACCCACAAATTCGCGGATGTACCAAGGTTTCAAAACCCTATGGAGACTAATTCAACCCGGAATTTTTGAAAACAACTCAATATAAAATGGCTTATCTGTCTACTGATCAGTGCATGTTGAGGTAATACTGCTTCATAACTTTTTAACGCTACAATCAGGTCTAGTGTCACGAAATTTGTAGAACGACTAGTTGAGAAACCGAGAAGGATGGGAACTTTCGTTTTTCCACCAATACAGCTAGCTCGTCATTACTCCCTCCTCTTACTGCGATCTTTACTACAGTGAAGTAGAAATGAGAATTCCACCTGAAACCAGATTTTTCACCTTTATCCCCTTCTTCAAGTGAGATTTCGGGAGTATCTGATAACTGATGAAACCGAGACTTTCACCGATTCCTGGCACTGTACTTGGTTGTAGCGTGAGAGTATGTAGTAATGTCATATCACCATAGGCAGTAAACGCGTTAGCTTTTTCATTTGGGATACTTCTACAACTTTTCGTGTTCCACCTCGAACCCACATCCACAGTCATCAGATCCAATACTCGTCTTATCGCTTAGTTTGCCACTCTGAGGAGTAGAAATTCTTCGAATCAAATGTGCAGCATAGTAACATACTTGTAAATTTTCTATATATAAGTGAAAAAAAANAAAAAAAACCTGAGGGTGTGAGAGAAATTGTTCTGCTGTGCTGTGAGGAGAAAAAGGGAAAACTTTCGTTCTGTATTAGTACTATCCTAATTTCTATTTCGGTTTAGGTTGAGGACAATATCGGGCTCACCCAGCTCGATGAACCAGCAATTCAGCAAAGTGATCCGACAATACTTGCAATGCAACTGCGTCTTGCGAACAAAGACGTGAGAACTATCATTATTAAATCTTTTTATAAACTTTTTAATAACTTTTTTACTAATTTATCCCAGTAAACTGAAAGTACGTGAGATAAAAAAGTCAGAAATAAATTTACCAGATTACACTTTTTGATGCCTTGTCATTCAGCTGTACAAATTAGAAACATAGATTCATAGGTGATTCAATTACTTGTTTCTACTTGTCTAGTTTTGTCAGCTGTTGTTTTTCGCAGTGTTTACCTATAGAGTTACTAGTACAACCATTGACATGTGCACTTCATTTCCATGTAACTTAGGTAACTTAGGTATGAACTGACAGTAACTCTAATATTTTCGTAGCTCGAGACCTCCGACCCTCGAGATAGTATTTCTTTCTGGAACATGCTGAAGAATGTATGGGATATTTTCAAAATGAATCCGGATAATTGATCCGATTTAATTCCTCAGTACAGAAAGCGTGTTCGAAAAGATCTTTATAAGTTTCAGAGAGAAGGGACTGCTGTATAGTGGACTGAAAGGAATGAACGAGGTTAGGCCTCGGACAGATAGTAGGCTTGTGTGGCCTGGGTGGGTTCTAATCGTGATTCGAACCCTGAACCATGTCTAAAATAGTGGGTCATTTTTCACCACATGACCTCTGCCCCTGGCCTTTCTAAGACCTCAAAATCGTTGGGTGAATGCTGTATGAGTAGCATCGAACTGTACGAGCTCTAAGGCAAATCGAGAGTCGATTTTTGAATGCTGATTAGTTCCTGTGATTTGAATTTCAGTTTAATGTGAAATCAAATTTGATGCCCATTCAGGTAACCACACAAGAAGACGCTCCTGTGAAACAGCTCGAACGAGCCGACAAATCATCTCACGAAATCGATAAATGGATCACCAATATAAAGGTGATAAATTTTCATTGACGTTTTCAGAGAATAGATAGAGGACAAGAAGAAATAAGCTAGAAGCAAAACGAATTTTATCATATCCTCATTGTTTTGCTACCCTTCAGCGGATATGAAGACATAATTTTGACCATGTGTTTGATTGTATATGTAGTCCCACTAACTTGAAGGTCCCTTAAAGAAGGTACTTAATTTGTTTTCCCATTTTGTTCTTTTCTTCGTAACCGAATCATGACAAATATCAGATACAACATCAGATATTTTACTACATATTCCAGGAACTGCATCGAACTCGTCCATCACAATCCACTGTGCAGTTCCGTAGTCCTATGCCCGATATCGAAAGTCTCATGCAGGAATTTCATTCAAACTTTGAGCAGTGCCTGGATGGAGTAAAGGTAAGAAGTCGGTTAAGCCCTGCCTTTTTAGGGCTTCTTTTTTTCATCTATTCATTCCTACCTTCAGTTTTTGCTTTCAGTTGCCAACAGCTGATTTGGATGTGGACCTGGAGGAATACGCAGATATTTGTCTTGGTCTTCTCGACATACCGGTCTCCAAAAGCCGTATTCAATCCCTCCACTGTTTCTTTTCGCTGTTCAGAGAGTTCAAGAGCTCTCAACATTTCAAAAATTTAGCAACAGAGAAACGGGATATTATCGATCGAATGGAGTTGTAGAGTCTGGTAAATAAAAATTTTGCTAAAAGTTGTTCTGCCTACTTTTATGTACGTTGCACTAGCTGAAGAGGTTCTTGGACAACAACAAAGTCGTTTCTGCCATGGATTCAGGATCACTTTGAAATAAAAAGTACATTGTATTGAGTTTCGGTAGAACGTTACCATCACTTTATGTGAATATTAATAAATTATAAAGAAATTCCTGAAAATGGTGTTGTTGAACCAGAAAAAACTTGTTCGAGGTTATCTTACTTCCAGTGACCTCTAGTCTTTCATGATCCGTTGACCTACCTAAAAAATTAGTTCAAAATAAATTTTTCTCTTTCCTTACCTTGGTATCATACGTGATGGCCTGACGACAATTAGCCGGAGATGTAATGAGCCTTTGTGATCTGTAATGTAATCTTTGGAAAACGGGAACGAGGTGGGCTGTGCGGCGAGGGTTGAGCAGTGGATTCCCGAGGATGTGTGCTTTTCAGGAATTGCAGTAGAAAACAGTAGGAGTTGGTCTTTTTTGTGTCTGAAGAGAGTAGGGTCAAGCAACCTGTAAAAAAGAATAACTGGATCAAGAAAGGAATACTGAGAAGTAGAAGCTGCCTGGAATATTCCCATTTTCCCGAATTTTTTATTCCTACTTCGTGATTTATAACCAGAATCTTTACACGGGTATTATGTTGCCAGCTACCGAAGTTTAGTTAGATTCGTTACTTTTGGCCGATTACTGTTCTTACTGCTGTGACGGGTCTGCTGCTACTACTGCCAACGAATTGTCCAGTACATAAAGCGGTGCTTAGCATGAACTACCCAGCTTCATACAGCAATCTTTGAAGTCATGTGGGATGTTTCAGCCTAAGAACGACCTCCAAGCATGAAATGGATGCTTACCACGCACTCAAGCAAAGTTCAAGCGCTGACTTTGAAATTCTTATCGTATACACGCTACCATGTTATCTAGGCATCTTGTCAGAGATCGGTAATCTGTGTAATATGAGTATATCGAGGCCTGCATTTGAATAACATAACTAAGCACTTGCTGTTCTCGACTTTGGCGATGAGAATTTCACGACCTTGACTCATAACATTTGAGAACGAACCTGCGAAAAGGAAAGCCTCATTTAAAGTTCTGCTGAGCATTTATCTTCGATTCCCTTCCCACTAGGCGACATTACTCACCATGGCAGGATCCCAAATCGAAGTGGTCGTTTGAAATGAGACCTTTACTGCTAGGCGAATTTTCGGATGCTGATTTCAAATCTTCTTTCCAAATTTGCCGAGCGATTTTTTAGACTTATGAGGGCGATTTTAGACGGGCTTAATAATTTGCATGAGCTCACTCTATTGGGCACATTGTTTTAAGTTCTTCTTACTGCTCGTATATCTTCCTAAACCGTCCCAGAGGGTGAGAGTAAACCACGCTTTTTCATATTTCCTCATCAGATGTTGAGCTGTTGCTTGAAACAACTCTATTAAGTCTAAATTATATGAGTTCCTTAGAACAGGTGTATGATGCGACTCTTAAAACCGATTACCTTGATACCTCATAAACCTGGTTTGTAACGCCCGAAATTGAAGGGATAGGCAAGTGGTACATCTTCTGTAACCAACACTTTAAAATCCTTTTGCAGTACTAAAATGTAAGACGATAGTGGTCTGCTTCAGTTATTGAACTCTATCCACTTTACTTACTTAGTATCATCGTGGCGGTTTTATACTGTCCTACTACTACCATTTTACTATTTACTATTATCACTTGACTGTTTTACTACAAAGGATAAGTTAGGAGACATAATATATGAGATACACGTCTTCATAATGGAGCCTACCCATAATGGTTACATACCGTTACTAAGGACGCTCCCCTGACGCGTAGAATGCTTCCTAGCCAGTTGATGGCGTGTCGATTAAATATTTATTTATTGAAATCCACGGCCTAGCCGCTAACCTTCGTTTATGGACGCTTCACCACGGAGCCATGGTGAGTTGTATTCGATTACAATCACAGTTATCCGATTAACAATTTTTACTTTCAGTTTGGTTTCATTCATGAAAGTATCCGTCAGCTGATGGTGAGAAAGTTCGGGGAGGACTTCTGGAGTAAAGTCTTGTGGGTATATTTTTCCTTATTTATAATTTATTAGACATATGCAAAGGAAAAACTCATCGTCTGATGCGCTTCTATTTCTCTATGTGTGGTCCCAGTAAAAATAGTTCTTAGAAATACAAAGTTTATTATCTCCTCTGACGCACCGTTGCCGACTATAAACGTAGACATAGATCTTTTGAATTGACTTGGTCCCCATGTCTTTGTGCAGTCGAATGATGTAGAGGAATGATTTTTGTGCCTTGTAAAAAATAGTAACTGTAGATACCATTCAATTAAGTTTAGGCAAGACTAGTAGTATCTTTTTAAAGACAATAAGAAGACAATAACAAGTATAGCACCAGGCAAAATTTTAAGAGAATTTATGTTTGTAAGGAATAATTCAGAACCTTTAGATTATTACTACAAAGTTTGTAGGATTGCGTTCTGATCTGTTTGAAGGTAATGCAGAGTATTTGGATTTTCAGATTGAGAGCAGGTTTTGAACCAGGGAAGGAGAACATAGTAAATCACTACTACTCGGATTCGGACACGTACATCCTTGTAGACGCAGTTAGTGTAACCGCAAGTAAGGTTTTCATTCATACCCCAGTCAGTCATAATTTAACCTTTTTGTCAATATTTTCATAGAAATGACCCGAGAACAAGTATGGGAGATGTATGGTGGATTTCTCATCGAATACACTATGGAAATCGGTTGGGACGAATTGATTCGTTCGATGAGCCCGAATTTGAAGGTATTGACTTTCGACGTATTCCGCGATTGCATTCTTTAAAACAGATTATCTGGCTGGATGCCGAATCAAACAGCAATCGAGCAAAGGATTCCATCAGCCCGAATTATAGAAAGTTTTTTGGTGAAGTTTCGAAGATGTCTCCAAAAAATATTTTCTTTCCCCTTTGTTCGAAATGAACTACTACTTCAGGGTTTCCTGGACAACTTGGACTCATTGCATTATTTCATCGATCACGTCGTATACAAAGCTAATCTACGTGGACCGTCGTTTCGGTGTGAAGACAACCCTGACGGCAGTATCACTTTACATTACTACACTGGAAGGCCGGGACTCTATCCAATTGTAAAAGGTGCTGAGTAACTATTGCGAAAAATTTCCACAGCAAGTAATTTTCATGGGGCTCGGACACTTTGAGGTTCTGACTTTTGAACGTGCAAATTCTCAAGTAAAGGTTACGGAACAAAGTAGGGCTACTGCCACTTTTACAATTGGGTTAAATTATAAGAAGGGATCTCAGGGGACTGTGAACAAGTGGGATGAAAGTACTACCAATTGTTACTACGCACCACCACGTGGCTTTCGGCAATGAAATAGTGTCGGGCTCAACGGGGTATAACAACTAGAAAAGCTACAATGATAGCGGTTCGTTATTAAAGATTATAGTTGACTAATTTTTAGCAAGAAGTAGTGGATCGGCAGTCCATGCCCACATAAAATTTAGTGTGAATTTTGGTGATTTTTATATTTTAATATTGTACAACGTGATTTCCTTTAAGGCGTTCTGAAAGAAGCTGCAAAGCGAGTGTTCGAGTTGGATGTTGCTTTGGCCATCACTGGCCGAACACAACGAAGCGTTCAAATGGCAACAGGCGAACGTATCGAAGAACACGTCATATTCTTAATCAAGGTTTGATCGTCTTAAAGAATTCCTTGGAGTTTGATGGGGCACCTCAGACCACTTTTCATTGGTATCCAGTGAGTAATAACAATATGATCTTCGGGTAACAGCCGGTATTTTACAAGTATTACCTGTCACCTGTAGATCTGTGTATTGTAACTATCATCATTAATCTTATCTATGTGGTGTAAGTACCACCATTAGTTGTGTCAAAGAGGAAAGATAGTCTGACATTTTTCTGCCCTGCCCTGAGCGCGAGGGGATTACTTGACTACGTGACCGGGATCAGGCCGAGTGTGCACCTGATGTTCCGGTGGGGGCTGGGAAAGGTCCACCGATGAGGAGATCGGGTTCAGGACTATTCAAAAAAGCACAGTTTATCCTGCAAATCAATTCATCGATGCCTCAGAGATGCAACAATTTCTAATGGAAGAGGTTGCTCACTTTCATAAGGCTGGCAAGAATTTACTGTCCACCAGACTCTCCCTTTCCTAATCCTCGACGTGTTTCATCTCCATTCAGAAACATCAGGCAAGAAACACAAGGGCAGAATACCGCCATGAAAATTGAAAAGAGCTATCAGTCGGTTTCTCTCACACACACAAGGTATATTGTTTGTATTCCAGCCACTCCATCCCAATGGCTCCGGTCTGGAAACGCTTGGAAATGTTGGAGTTCGTCCGCCGCAAGGAAATGACTTCAAAATCCGGTTGACCAACGAGGATTTCATTTCAACGTTTCCATATCATTTCGTGGTGGATCAGGATTGCAAACTTGTACAGGCCGGAAGAGAACTTTAGTATGGGAAATTTACCTAATTTCATTACCTGTTACTATGACCAATATGTAACCGTTATTTAGCAATTATGTACCACGAGATCTGCTTGCTCCTGGCACTCCACTGATCCGAATATTTGAAATCAATCGTCCACAGATTCCTCTAGATTTCGATTCAATTTGTAATTTCATTAACGCTGTTTTTGTTTTACAAGTAAAGACGACACCAATCGAATTCCAACGGAGTGTGGGTAAACGTAACAGCCAGACAATGGAAGGGTTTGTTTGAATATTTCCTTGTGATTTTTTTTTCGGGAGAAAACTCTTACCATTCCGAAGTTGGAATATGAACCAATAGTCATTTTTGAAGCTCGTCGGGTTCATTACAAATATTTTATAAAAGCTAAAAAGTAACATTAGATTCTTACAAAGTTCAGCACCGTGCGTTGTTTCAACAGACGACCGACCGAAAGACGGCATTGCTGGCCACGCGTTGGCAACGCAGGAGGAATTGCGTTCCGAGCCGCGTTAACGGTATCGATCGGTGTCAGGCGTTGTCAACGCGTGGCCGGCAAGGTCGTCGGTCGGTCAGTCGTCGGTTGAAACAGCGTACGTCGATGAACTCGAAAGCACTCACTGACCAGTTGATAGATGTAACAACAATGATTTCCGGCTATTCTAGAGCTGGTGGGGACAGTGACAGCAGTACTGACCATATGACGCAGAGTCAACACCTGAAGCTGAAGGGTCAAATGATGCTATTATCTACAGGTAATCTGTAATTCATAAAGTGCTCTCAGTTGCTTCCGTACATACTCTGTGATGTCTGCAGTCAAATATATCACTGTATGCAAAGAAGATCCTGGCTGTACTGCAATAATGTAAATGGTAACTTGAGGTCGTCACGTGTTATATTTGTGCTCACCATACGTTACCTCCATTCCCGAACTACTCCAGTTTGGTATGCGTCTTACCGCTATTCCATTACATGATGCTACCAGGGATCTGATTCTCCTCAATCAGCAACGCCTCAGTGATGTGGAAATGAAGTGAGGATTTTACTGTAACGCAAAAGTGAATTCTATTGAAACGGCATTTGAGCAGTAGGATTCGAGGACGGAAGATAAGCTTCTAGTACATACTTCATCAAAAGTATGAAAGCTTGGCTATCCAACGGATTCAGGGCATGTGAGGATTAAAATTGTAGAAAGACTGCAACGTTTCCTTATATGAGTTGCGGCCTCCTATCGACACTTTTGCACATCCACTTAGAGGCGGAGCTTCCTAGAGAGGCGTTGCTGCCGAACTTCTTGCTTGTCTATGTCTTTTGAACAGCTTCTTGGCCAATCCACATTATCGTATAATGCGTATTGTAGTTTTGAAAGATACTTTCTTAGCCTCCAGTTAGAAGCCAACAACGAGCAATTAGAACTTATGGCCAAAGATCTGGAAATAGAAAAAGCCAAAACAGATGCTCTACTGAGTGAAATGCTTCCGGCATCAGTCGCTCAACAGCTCAAACGTGGTCAGACTGTTGATGCTCGTGAGTTGAGAACCATCACAGGGATTGCCACTTTCTTCTGTCTAACTCGGTCTAACAAGTGAGTAATGTTTCAGGAGAGTACGAGTCAGCAACAGTAATGTTTTCCGATGTGCCTTCATTTCAACAAATTGTGCCGGTGTGCCAGCCAAAAGACGTTGTCCACTTGTTGAATAACCTTTTTACAAGATTTGATCGCTTAGTTGAACTACAGAAAGTAGGTAAATTTTAAGGTCACTCGGTAGTAATTGATTACTGTAAAAATTGTTTCTCTTGCAGGCCTACAAAGTAGAAACTGTGGGCGACAGTTACATGTCCGTTGGTGGAATACCTGATGTTGTCGAGGACCATTGTGAAATCATCTGTCACTTGGCACTAGGTCTGTGTTGGTAGTAGCTAAACAGTAATGTCAAACATGAAAAACGGGGAAGCCATGGCATCGTTCCGAAATTCCCAATTCCAGAGAGAGTCATTTTCAGCTTAGCGCAGCAAAATGACCAAAGACTTACAGCAAAATTTTGGAACAGCAAAAATTGAATAAAAAACGATTGTGAGGATTCGCTCTGGGTTTTGTTTGCTACGTTGTTACTACATAGTTCAGAGCGGAGAAGTATAGCTCGGCTTGAGCAGAATAGCAAGCAGTAGCTAAACGATTTGGTACCATGTGTTGCCACGATGACTGACTAGATCCTCTCGGTTTTGCTTGTAAGCCAATGAGAGCCTCATTGGGACTGAAGTGCAGTTGCTTAGAAGATCTATCTTTGACTTTTAATTCACACCTGCGAAACCTTTCGAACTACTATACAGCGGTACTGATTTAACTAGTAATGAGACAATTCACGGAACCTTTGCAGACGGTTGGTTATTTTTTATTGTTTTTTTGAAATTAGCTTCACAGTGATCGAGTGCTCTCCTGAAAAAAAAAGGGCTGCTGTGTAATTTTGTTTCGAGAAATAACCCGATGCTCAACAGAGTTGATATTTCTGGAAAAATGAGTACAGATAACATATAGCAATACATATCCATAGCATGTGCAATGCTCTCGATCCTATTGGTAGAACCATTTTTTTTCAATTGCTTACGACAAATAGAAATCAGCCAATGGAGAAGGCGCCATGGTTGAAGCAGCCCCGCCCACAAAATAATTTTGGATAAGTTCCCAATAGTTGCGTCACTCATCACTTTCCAGCATTACGCTAACACACCTATTTTTCTATGAACGTCGATCCAGTAGTTTGCACTAAAAGATGAGCTTTAAAGAGTGCTTTGAAAGCAAGTTGATATTATAAGCTTATAACTTGTTACAACTATTTTCCTAAACAAAACATCAAAGTAATAAATCAGTTCACAGGTATGCTGATGGAAGCGCGCAATGTGACAGATCCAATTTCTGGCAGCCCTCTTCATATTCGAGCGGGTATCCATTCTGGCCCAGTGGTCGCTGGGGTTGTTGGTGCGAAGATGCCGAGGTAAGAAGTTCATCAAATTGTGATATCCATTACGATTATTTTTCAATTTGTGGATTTTCATACTAGGTACTGCCTCTTCGGTGATACAGTAAACACTGCGTCCCGTATGGAAAGTCACAGTCCCGTTGGCCGAATACACTGCAGTGAAAATGCTGTTACGTGAGTCAATACAATATCAGTCCTATGCTGACTGTTTAAAAAAAAACTTGATGTCAGTTAGAAGATGTCAGTCAGACTTAAGTAGTAATGTTTCAGATGCGCTCTACAGACCGGCCGATTCGAGTTCGAGGCGCGTGGAAAGATCCCGGTCAAAGGAAAAGGAGAAATGAATACTTTTTTCCTATTGAGAAGCTATAAGCGCTCCATATGGGAGGTTACTCAAACCAAAAGAGGTGAGTTTTTAAAACGCTGAGGACGAATCTGAAGTTACACTTGTCATAGGAACGGGAGATACATGGAAATACCACGAAAAAACGGGAAATTCCAAAAATAGTCTGCGAGGAAAGTATTTCTTTGGAATGTTCCTCACTTCACACTAATCAGTATTCAACAAGTCATGACTAATCGTTTTGTATCCAGTCGCTGATATCAGATTTATTTTTTTCAGATGAAAACGTAAACAGTATTGACGGATACCAGGAGTTGAGAGAAGCGTATGACGAGGAAACCGTTGAAAAGAAACCAATCAAATATACACATGCATGTACTATCTCATAAATATTTTCTTGTTATTTTATTTACAATACCGACAAACGCAGCATTAGCAGAAACCGATTGGGATCTAGCAATTTGCGCTACTGTAATGGCAAGCTCACTACCCTCGAAACGGAATTTCAGTAAAGGTTGTCAAGAAATCGTTTTTGCTCAACCCAACGGGGGCCTCCATGAAAACGGCCTCGAAGCCCTGCCTCAAAACTTCGGAACGAGGCCTGCACAGAATCGCTGAGAAAAGAGCAAATCCTACATATTTAACACAAGATTCGATATAGGGAAAAATAAGCAAAGGAGGAGGTCCCCGTTTGTCTTAAACAGGTCCTTATAAAGCGATTGCATGGAAGCTTGAAAACATTCTAAGCTAATGCAAAATCCTTACATCTACATTTTCGTTGAAAATTCGCATTTTTAGGTCTGATTGTGAGTCTTGAGGACTGTAAACTTGTAAGTAACAAAAAACGTTTTGTGAGTGCTGTTCAAATTTGAAAAGGGGGTTTACACTCTCCTTTTCAAATTTGAACCTATCCTAGTACTATCAACATGTGTGGCCTGTTCAGTGGAGTAGCAGTGATTGTCGTGCTAATGAAACTCTGACCAGAAATACTCGTCAGCATCTTTGGAGATAACGCTTTTTGAACTATGAATAGTCACGTAAGAGGTTTCTGTGGTTTTTACGAATCTGACAATCTTCATAGTCTGACGAAAGTTAGAGTAAACTGTTCTGAGGTTTCTGCAAATGCATTCACCTACCTACTCGGCTTAGTATAACGAGACAGCGTAACATGAGTCATCACATGCCTACATAACGTCCAAACTAGGTCACCGAGTGTGCCGGTCCTCGAGCAATCGTATCAGGACCCTTCCCTATGAATACGGTATGAAAAAGAAATAGAGGCTATGATGCAAAGCGAACCCTTACTTAGACAATACAGCTGTACTTGGCTGAGCAGAAGCTCTGCAACGTTCTACTACCTCCTTCTTTACGAAAAACTTCTTTACGTTCGTGATCTCCTGTAACATGAAAGATCATTTTGCTACTCTGATCTCCCTCCCCTTAAACCAAGTAATGAACTGATTGAGTTTCTGCAGTGTAGTCAGGCTTCGTACGTGGTCCTCAAACCACAGGTGAGGTTGAGTGGCCAGTAGATGTGTCTCTACTTCTCGCTGAGTGGAAGGCATCAAAACATGAAAAAATCTGTCAAAGCCTAATTTAGGGGTTTTAAAAGACAATTATCACAAACATCTGTGGAGGCAGGTATCCCTATCAATTCATTATTTTGTAGAGAAATTGTCTAGGTTTTTTAAAGGACAGAACAAGTTCCAATGTACAACAGTCCCTCAACAACTGTTTTAACCAGATTCAGCTGTCCGCAGCGCCATAATCCTTCGTAATTGTGCAGCATTACTGAAGCGATATGGTTTGTTTTCGCACAGAACAACAACCTCTGAAGTCATTTCCTCTTGCCCGGAACGGAGCAAATAATACCAAATCTCCGATGCTTTTGACCATCCATGAACTTGCCTACAAATCGTCCACCCACGAGTGGTAGTATGAGTCATTCAGTACTGTACTTGGTTGGGAACGAATAAAATTCGATGTTAGCCGGTTGTCGTGCATAGTAAGTAGCATAGATGTCATGAATTGAACCGTAATCTCCCCCGACTTAACGCCGTCCCGAATTTCAGGATCGATAGACGTTGAATCTCGTCCACCCAAATACATACAGCAATAACCTGTGGCTTTGTACTTCGTAGCGTGCATAACTGAAGTTTCCGCCCAGTGCTATCTAGTCCGAGCATGACCACTTAGCCTAACACACATTTGGGCACTTTTCTCTGACCACTGGCTCGAATCCGATTTACTCTCCTATCAAATTGAAGTGTTAACCTCACCAACTTCAAAACCTTGTCCAAGATTTCCCCCGAATTTCACTAACTCGTTTTGCAGCCAGTAGTAGCTTCTCATTGAAAAAATATGCCTTTTTTCTTTGTGATAATGTTCCTTCTTCCCTCGTTGATTTTCAATTCCAATGGCCAGGGTCAAAATGGGGAACGAAGGTTCCAAAAGCCGTTTGAGTGACCACGTTGCACTTCCTAATTCTACGACACCGAACATCATCATTACACGTCCTTCAATAATGGACTGCCTGGATAGTCCGAAACCACGAGCACCTCCACCTACACCACTTGATGGAAGGTACGACTATTTACTGCCTATTGTTTTGTTTTTT